TTGTCACCGAACTTTTTCGAAAACGATGACTACCCAATCGGTTTCAAGTATTTTCCACGTGATTGAATTTCATCTCATTTGCCGATCCTCATTACAACTTTGACGCGTTGATGCGCGATCTAGGATGATTGGTACAGGTAGGTAAAGTAAGATTTAGAAAGCAAATCATTGGCAAAAGTACAGGTCTCGAAAAGTACGGATCGTGTAAACATGCGTTGAGCATTCTCTCACTTCCTAGCCGGGCTGCCTCTCGCTGTATACTGGTCTGGTGTTGGATGAGATTCACAGAGAACATCTTGCCTCAACACGTTCAATTGTGCTTGCTTTAGTGGTCGGAGGCGTAGACACCTTGAGCCTTATCGTCTTCCTCAGGGGAATGAGGCGTATTGACCAAGTTCTCGTTGTTCTATCGTTCTCTCCTTTCGTTAAGAATTTATTGCAGCAGGTACTCCAGATACTACTAGTGTAGTATTGAAGCTTAAGAGGGTGAGGTGTGACATCCAGTCACATCTGTGTAAGCACTGGAGCTTGAAGACTCCCGTCATTAATTTCTATACGTCCGCATCCGTCGTATCTTTAGAATAGGACAACTGGATATTTAAGTGACAACCCTGGCCTGACCACAACAGTGTTCAACCTGGCACAAGCTACCACGCTAACCCTGTGGCTGTTGGCTCCCAGCTGTCACTGGCAAATGCCAGAATAAATGCATCCCCCAATTGTGGTAATTGCTGCTGTTAGGGTACAAAATACTGACGTTACTGCCAGCCTTCCTCATGATTCTATTACAACCGTGAATGAATATAGGAGAGAAACTAATGCACCATTTCAACGAGCCTCCAAAACCAAACAAATTGCACTGATCTACTCCTCAGGTCGTGATCCTGTTTGCAACGGAAGTTACCTGATTTTGCTCGATACTGAGGGAGGTTTTTACATACGTCCACTGTGTTGTAGTCAAGATTTTTCGAAACGTCCCTCCGGTTAGTTTTCCCAAGCTAACCTCAGCTGTTCAGTTTACCGTACCTTTCGTTGTACAATCTGATTCAACTCGCTTGGACTTACATGGAAAGCTTTGTCCGGACGGTTCTTCAGCCAATTCTGTTTTCTCAGTGTTTACAGAAAACCGCAGCCCTTGGCCATGAGGATGTCGGAAAGAAGGCCACTCAGAAGGATTATAGCCAAATCGCACCCGGCTGTCTAGTTGGTCCAAAATCGGTGATATTGGGTAGTATGATCGGTTCTGGCTGCACTGTCGGCACCAGCTGCCGCATTATCAACTCGGTTCTTCTTTCTGGCGCCACTGTGAAAGACAAGTATGTATCTCTGATTTCTTCGACTTATCTTGCTTTCTTGTTCATGGAATACTACCTGATAACAGCCTTATTCTTTTAGCGGTAAACGGCTCACTTTCTTAATCAATTTGGTAATCCATCTGCCCATCCATATTCTCCAGTTAAATTTCAAAAACGAATTCCCTTTATACCCACGGAAACTCAAAACATCAAATCAAAGCATTCAGTCGTGGAGTCCTGCATTGCGTAGTCTTCGTTCAGTTTGTGAGAAACGAAAGAGCTCAGCCACTCTCAGGTCACTCAGGAGCAGTCGAGCGATCGACTTAAACCACCGGTCTTACGACTTTCCTCGCCCATTGCATGTTTCTGTAAACTACGGACTGGTTACATCACTCACGTTTGCTACTCGTTTTCGTCTTCTAGACCTCAGAAGAAAGACAAACCGTAATTTTACAATTTTTTGTACATCGTAAGATGCGCGTTCTTCGTGAGCATCGTGATAGATTGACCGAGTTTGCTGACAGTCCGCTACTGGTTTCGCTCCCTTGCGTTCTCATCAGTCAAGATTGTCTCCGAACTACCGTCAGTCCTCGTTCTTGTTCGCACACCTAACTGCACATTAATTGAATGAACCTTCATTTTCATAAAAAAATTGCTGAAAACCACTCTTACGTTGGTAACATGGGGTTTCATTTCCTTGTTAGTAGTTAGATCAATAGACAGTGTGCCACCGAGGTAAATAGGATAGTCCCAAAAAATCTGCTGCAGTCCTAATGCATAGATTGGTGTTCAGTAACCCAGCTGGTGAAGGTTGGTGCATAGCGAACGTTCTTGTAACCTTGGTGCACTGAACAAACTGCGTTTTTCCCTGAGCCATAACGTCGAATCCCACTGTAACCGTGACAATATCCATTTCACAACGATCGGTCTTACTATCAGTTTCAGCCGTCAGTTTTCGGAATTTTCACGAGCTCATCGTTAGCGCTTGCCTGGAAGAATGCTCCCAAGGAACTAGCATGGGCGTTTATACCTCCCTCCAAGATGCGCAGTCTAGAGGAATGTGTGATTAGCTGGCCTCAAGAGAACTTGCTTTAAACTGGCCACAGTCCTGTATTTTTTCTACTGTTGTTAGTTAACTCAGCTCCAGCCACGGTCGGCTATGTACAGGGACTTCCTTTTTGAACGGATAGACAGTGGTGCGTGTCTGCTAAATATTTGCCATGGTTGTTTCAACTACAAATCGCCCCTAATCACCGTGTGCCGATAAAGCTACCATTGCCTCAGTATCTAACCGAGGCGTTTGACACCCCAGTCTGCGCACGTACCTGGGCGATGGTCAGAGTCGAGTGATGGCAATGAGCTAGACTACTGAAACGAATTAGACAGGATACCTGATGATAAGTCTCATCGGCTTTTCTGACGGGACATTAAGGGTATAGCATTAGCTAAAGACTCCTGAGTAAACTCATTCCATCGCACATAGTAGGCCCTTCCAGCAGTCCACACTAAAAATAGCTGGATGGAAAGTTGATTGGCCTGTCGTGTAGAGGGAGAGAGTATGCGCCTATGTGAATCACCGGTCTGAGTTATCCTAGCGGAGCTTGATCACTTGAGGTCGCCCCATAAGTTCGAGTTTTTGTGGAATATGCGTGTTTCATTCTTGGATTCTGTTAATCCACACCATACATCCTGCAGAAGCCATTCGGGAAAACACGAGGAAGGAAACAAAAACGATAGACTGGCAACCCAAATTAGGAGCTTACGGTGGCGAACTACATTGACGTCCTCTGGGCTTGGGCGGTGGCACTTCACCGGATAGCGGGGACTGCCTACCATCCACCACGTATTGATGACTCTGATTTGATTCACCGAAGCTCACAGCCTACTCATCGTTCTCGAGTTGTTGTCTTGGATCAAGCTCACCCAGGATATGGGAGGCGAACATTTCAGTCAGTTACAATACGTCACAATTGGATACTCCATCAACAGCGTTCGGCAGCTCATCATAAAACTATCTGGCTGCAAAATCCGCTCAAGATGTGAGTGCATGGGCGCTAATCACTGGTGGTTTCAAAAGGATGCTTCTGTAGTGAACTACTTCAGTTCTGCGCAACACTGCGCTCCCCCATAAACAGATTACCGTTAGAACGCTTGCTGCGGTTAGTCCACCAGTGCACCCTTTGGGTGGGGTTACATACCAGTAATCGGGTGGCCGCTTTTACTGCTATCTCATTTGAAAGCTTATTTTGGACAGCTCACTAGTTGGTCTTTGGCTTGTTTTCTGAGCTGGGCAATTTGATTGCAAACGTCTCATCGAGGTGACATCATTGGGCATTCATTATTTGGGAGCGTAGTGGTGCTTAGCGGTGGGTTGGTGGTTGGGCGCACTGATGACGTCACCTCGATTGGTGATGAAACGTTTGCAATCAAATTGCTCAGCTCAGCGAACAAGCCAACGACCACCATCTACGCTACCTGAGCTACCAGCTCACTGGTTATTCCGTTCGCATCATCATCATTGACACAAATACTTCGATAATAAGTTGCATTACGGTGTCGGATGAGTCTTACTCACAGAGGTCCCGCACTGCCATGCGAAAGGCGTCCAAAGCCATCTCCTCACAGATTTACATTCAGTTTCGATTCTACCGACAGATACTGTATGCTAGGTTGAGACCGAACCCCCTCCTCCAATCTAACTTGGCAATGCCAGTCTGGGTTCTCTGACGCTTAACGGAATATAGCCTCCATGGTAGTTGGGATTGAGTAGCTGGTTACCGGCGAGTCAGATTCTTCTCACAAGCTTCAAAGCTTCATGTGGATGTTAGTTATACTGGACACACTGCAGCCCTTTAGAGTGACCCGCTTGTGTTCGAGCATCAAAGTGTGCTGTGCCTCAATCCTTCAGACTTGTATAGTTCTCAGGCTTACCTGAGATATGGGGCCAAGTTTACAGTTTCACAAACTCACCGGAAGGTCGTTGCAACATTGGGATTTCTGCCGTTCCCAAGTTCAAGCATCATTCTTTTCTTTTTGCGGCTAAGTTATTTCAGGATGCAGTTATTTTCCATGTTATCCACTTGCCTTGTCCGGCGTAGCAGGTTGCGCACCAGGGGTCACTTGAGGACTTCAGTGGGTCCGCAGAATACCATGCAGGTATTGTGCATAGGATTCGTAACGCATTCTAGTGTACCGTAGGTAGAGTGCTCAGTGTTTGCTGCCACATGTCCTACAGCAGTCCCGCGCGCTACAGCCTTGTCTACATGAAAACTAGGATTGCTTCACACTCGTTTTATATAGGGCTACCTTGGCAAGCCGAGTATTTCGCTCAGAATCCAGTACTTCCGGTGGTGCTATAAATCTGTACAACACGCCATACTGCCGAAATCAGTTTGAGTTAACACACTGAATCACTTGCCTACGCAAAGCTTCATTTCAAACGTCAGATCCCAACTATTCTCGGGTAAATCAATCGTTTATTTTCTTCCGTCAAATGCTCTCTGCAAAGGCTGTCTCAGGGTCTGGTTGAGCACGTTTTCAATACATCCAATTAGTGTGAATCTATAGCAGTTCGTCAGCGACATTCACTCGAACTTACTTCGAATGGATATGAACGCCATTTTTCATGCCAATTAGTGGTTTATTCAGCAGCTGTGCGCTTTTGGTCAAAAATGTGCTGTCTCGTCAGGCACGAAAGTCGCGAAAATGCCCGACTTGTGTTACTAAAATGTAATAAGTAGCTTAAACCATACACGTTTCCGCTTCTTTGTTTTCTCAATGCGCACCGCCGGGTGGGCTGTGTTGTTGGCGACCAGGTTCGGAGTTGCAGACTAGATTTTTTACTTTTATCCACTTGCCTATTTGCAAAAGAATCCGGTTACCTAATCTATCAAACCGTCTATCCACTAACGTGCTAACTATGTTGTTTTATTCTTTTCCTCGGAGAATTTGAGCGATTTGTTTACTTCTGTTTCCGTTGCCTCTAGCTGCATCTTACAAGGCTGTGTATTAGGAGAAAACGTGACTGTGGAGTCCCAGTGTAACCTGAAAAACTGTGCGGTTGCCTCATCGCAGCGTGTCCCAGATGGAACCCATTTGGAGGCCGAACAGCTGGGTTTTACGGATCCTGAGTTGGAAGTTACTCAGCCTTGACCGTGAACGCAGTTGCTTTTGGGATTTATGCTGCGGTCAAACTTACCTTTTTCTTTGTACATTACCATTATCGATTTTACTTATCATTTTGGAGGTGTGAAATACAACTTTTGGATTTTTGTCTCGTGGATATATCTGTTTTACTCCAATACTATGCTGGAGAGCTCACCTTCAACACTGGTTCTGTGCTTAATGATACTGATTTCCCAGGTGTTCTTATCTTATTGTACCCATGATTCAGCGTCCAGTAGGTGCTATGCAGGCCGGCTATGAGAACATTAGCCTTATCATGTGTTTTTTAAAGATACGTGATTTATGCTAAATCTACCTCCAACTTTTGCGTACGGTTGTGAGCAGATTGGCAGTAGGTGCGCCTCCTCATCACATAGACGTGGTCACAAAGTTCGACTGGCTTATATGAGAACTGATTGCATATGGTGCAACCCGAAATACACCAGCGATTTATGTAGGCACTTGTATTTCATGTGAATCTACCGTCATATTTTTCATCCGACCTCCGTTATGACCTTTGCGTTGGTCAGGATTAAGCTGCTCCTAAGCGTCTCTGATGGGCCGCGGTGTGATTTGTTTAGCTGTTCACTGGCGAATTGAACCTTCTCCATCAGATTATAATGCGCGTCTAGTCGTCACTGATGGAATTACAGCCTCAGCAGCAGGAAAGACAATCGCGCTGCTGTTGCGCGTGCACCACTGGTTGCTTCTCGTTACTAAAAATAAACCACCGGCATGCTGTTCGGTTTTGTCTTTCCGAGTGTATCACACATAGGACCAAATTCAAAGGTATGATCACACCGATCGGCCTGCATTATCCAACTGCTGTTGAATAGTACTCAGGTGTCGGTCATGGATTAGGAGTGCTTACTGGGGGGGGGGCAACATGGTCCAAGTGGTTAGAGCGCGAGTTTACTGACCGGAAGGTCCGCGATTCGAACGCGACCTCTGCCTCTAGACTTCCCCTGTCTAGGCTTAGGCAACTTGGCAGTATCCCAGTCCTTATGCAACCTTCGGGTGGCATGGTAGCTAGGCACCGGAAGGGTGCTGCAGCTGAACTATTTTTGTGTTTACTGGGGGGCTATCCTGAGCGGGGCGAACGTTTGTAAATCAGAGGGGGTTATTGCCTACGATTATGAGCCTTCAGACAGCTAGGGTGCAAGATGGATTCGCATATATCCTAGAGGAATCTTCAGTGGCAGCTGGTGGTGTGACCACGTCGGCTGAGCGGATATATTGGCCGATTGCTGGTCACATAGTAGTGTGATTCAATGTCACAGCAATAAACTTGTTAATTTCACATTCCGGCGATGCATTTAATCGATCTTCCCTACTGAATTTTAATGATTTCACTCATGAGACCACGACTAACCAATTGCTTTTCAGTTTTTATAAAAACCCACAGGGATGCTCGCCTACTTTCAGTGTACCGGTTGGCTGAACGGATGGGTTGAGTGCAACTTTATTCATTTACCCGAGAATGGGGATCGGTTTCACCGACGGAAGTTAGGGGACTGTGCCTATCTGGTGGCTCCAAGAAGGTCGAAAGCGATAACGGGCTGTCGAAGAGTTTTCAGCAACCTTGCTTCGAATATCGTACTAACCGAAACATGAGGTGGCCTCTGTACAGCTCATTTAGTTGGAGAATATCGTAAACGAGAGGTTCAGCTTTCGTTCATCTGAGTCTGCCACAGGAGCAAATGAGCGCATCTCGCGTAAATTACGTAGCTAGCCTGGTTGGCGTGCAGGAATAGAGATGTTAATTTGTGCTCACAATTGCTGAAAACAAAGGCGTTTGTGACAATTCAAATCGAGTTAAAGGATAACTATTTTGGTGCGTACTTCGAATCAGACCTGCGAGATGAAATGGGAGCTCGTTACACGTGTTATCCAATTCCATGAGCGCATGATAGCAGATATTATTCCGATTTTTTTTCAATCAGGTACGTGGACCAAAAGGATGAAATATTTTTTACTCGAAACTCACTTCCGTTGTCGCATCGTCGGATTCATTCGCAAAATATGGGGAATTTTTAGACGTACCTTGCAGTTTAGTGCAACACAGGGTAAACGAAGCCACAGGATGAGATTGTTCTCCAATTCCAATTGTGTGAATATACGACCGGTGAAACAGCATTTGCCTGCCCGAATCACATCAGAACCTAAATTGATCATAGCAAACTATGCTGGTTTTCCGTCAGTCAGCTGGAATTATGGCTTTTTGTTCTATAGCATTTCATACAGTCTGATATGTGACACTGATGCGGTTCGTTTACGAAATTTTACTTTACGAGACCTTCAGCGGAGAAGTTAACATATGTCTTCAGTTTGCAGGGCCCTGGGTATCGAACGAATCAAACATGGGCTTGATGGACCCAATACACAGTAGGTTCGTGATCCTTAGCCCGAATGAAGCGAATGGACGTGCAAATTACAAGACCGATTTGTATTTATCCGCTAAGTTGATTGGTGCTAATCTTCTTTGTCCTCCGACGCGACCATGCCATCCTGAGTAGGGAAACTTTCAAAAGTTGGGAATCTGGTTTATGTAGAATATGTCACACACATTTTCGTGTGCGTCGGTTGATCGAATTGGAAAGGTATAGTACTTTATACCAATGGTCCCTGACACCATCTTTAGGTATTCTTTTGTTCCAACATGCTCTGTCTGTTCCACTTAACCACCAGTGGTCAAATACTTCGAGTCTTCGACAAGCCCTCAATAAAATTCTCCCAAGTATGCAGACTTGGTGTGAGACTTGAGTACGACTGGGGTACAAGGCCTGTGTGGTGAAATTTCCCACAAGCCGGCACAAGTCACCTATCTGATTGACTGAATTGCAGCCGCGACTGCCCTTAATGTGGTGGGAGCCCTTCAAGCGTTATTTCCATCTGGAGACATTATTCGGCGGTCTTTGGCGGTAGCACGTCAAAGGACTCAACAAAGTTGGTCTCCCTTGTATGGATTCCGAACATTAGTAAAGGCTTTAGGAGACCAACTATATGTAGTCATGTTTGAGGAATAATCACTCTAAAGGAGTTAACTGCATCTAGAAGGACGATAAAGCACTGAACCCAGCGTCGTTTACCCTTGCACACCAACACCATCATTCAGGCGATACCACCAAGTTCTGTTCACGTAGGAACTCGGTTAAATTTAAGGATCTCAGGGTTTCTCCAGAACTGCGCTTTGTTGGCAGATGAATGTGGGAACTTTTAAAGGCATCCAGTGAACTTTTCGTCGGTATTCATACACGGCTGATGGAACGATATAGAGTTGAGGTAAGTCCAGCTGGTCCCTGTCATGTGTATCGGCTGCTTGTTTACGTTACTCAACATACGTAGTGCGAACTTCCATAAGAATTGAACGATCCAGTACTTCAATTAATCACGTGTAACCTTGATACACGTAGGTTGGCTTTGTTGAAGCCTTTGAATTGTTGATAGCAGCTTGTTCCGAGTGGGGCTTGGTGTGTTTCATTCTGTGGACTGCCCGAGGTGCAGTGATTCGTATCCTCATCAGGAATAATGCCGTGAATAGTTAAGAAGTGCTGCTTGCTATGATGTTACTGGGGCTCAAATTACATGCAGAATCTATATGTCATCGCAGTCCCTTGGCTGCTGCTGAACTGAGCATGTTAGAAAGAAACTCCAGGTATAACACCTGATATCGCTCATGTATGCACCACAAGTCTATGGAATAGTAGCACCCAGTACAGACTTCAAACTCTAGCAGTTCATCGAGACTCGAGCTCTTTTATTCGCTGTTCTCAAAAGCTTATCCCGCGCCTGCAGAATAAAATTCCCTTGTTATACTAGCGCTGTTTTCAACACAATAATAAAGTGATATGGGTGAAATCTTCGGCCGCTAATGAACTGGGACCGAATTTTTCACCAAATTCAATGTGGGAACATAAGAAAAACCTGTCACTTGTCAGTCGTTGACGTCTCTAATCGGAAGCACTTCCATTCGACTTGAACATTAAATCAATTCCCACCAGCATGATGGCAGGTGAATTCGAGTTCTTCGAGCATATCCCTACCCTCATACCGACTTCCGCCGAAGCTGATAACTAGTTCACCGATCATCGGTTATCAACTAACTGCCTCACCCGTAGAACAGAAGTGCCTTCTGACAAAAGCCCATATCGACGCACTGCAGCAACTGAGGTAAAACTCATATATCGTTATCCTGAGGCCAGACTGAGGCTCTGGCACGGCATCCTGAACAAACAGGATCACCTTACCAACATGCAGTGCATTCTTTCAGATACAGAGAAGTTCAGGGTAGATACTCAACCGGATATTGCTTTGCCTGTGGAAAAGCAAATTTTACGTGAATTGGAACCCCAGTTTGAACTATGCGGTCCGCCAAGGACTCAGACACCGAATACCGCCACGCTCTGTGAATGGCTCATCACGAATTGGCTAACTGGTATTTCTACCATAACACACTACTTATAAGGCTTCCGATCAATTTCAATTTATCAGCCATAAACCATGTATCATGGGTAGGTGCCAGCTCGTCTCTAATCGGAAGCACTTCCATTCGACTTGAACATTAAATCAATTCCCACCAGCATGATGGCAGGTGACTTTGAGGAGTTCTTCGAGCATATCCCTACCCTCATACCGACTTCCGCCGAAGCTGATAACTAGTTCACCGATCATCGGTTATCAACTAACTGCCTCACCCGTAGAACAGAAGTGCCTTCTGACAAAAGCCCATATCGACGCACTGCAGCAACTGAGGTAAAACTCATATATCGTTATCCTGAGGCCAGACTGAGGCTCTGGCACGGCATCCTGAACAAACAGGATCACCTTACCAACATGCAGTGCATTCTTTCAGATACAGAGAAGTTCAGGGTAGATACTCAACCGGATATTGCTTTGCCTGTGGAAAAGCAAATTTTACGTGAATTGGAACCCCAGTTTGAACTATGCGGTCCGCCAAGGACTCAGACACCGAATACCGCCACGCTCTGTGAATGGCTCATCACGAATTGGCTAACTGGTATTTCTACCATAACACACTACTTATAAGGCTTCCGATCAATTTCAATTTATCAGCCATAAACCATGTATCATGGGTACGTTGGTGCCAGCTGCTACAGTTCCGATTACCGAGAATTGGGAGGGCGTGGCAGACGGAGTGAAGCATTTAAGGCGGTGGCATGTTCAGTTAGTTCGGGAACCGGGTAGCTGCGCATTGAAGGCGATAGGTTTGATAGACGAGAGCCACTGTTTGCCCGATCGGGCCATTTCTGCCAGTGTCACCAACCGTTGGTGGGCTGAGTCCCGGGATCTCCACCGAGGAGGATGACCGTTGACTGGTTGGTGTTTCCATGCCAGGCCCATTGCCGACTTTGCCATTTTTGCGGACCACATTCTCCGAGTTTCCATCAACCTTGTGTTTTACTTGAACGCCAAACCTTACACCTCTGGCAGTTCATACCCATTTGCAAACTAACAATAGCAAACGAGAGATTCAGCTTGGATTCAGTCGAGTCTTCCGGTAAAACCAACCTGAGTTGCAAATCAGTGTATTTCGTCAATGGCTTAATGAATGTTGGAGATGCTAAAGTCCATAAGATCAGAATCAACAATCCATAGCTCCACATTTGAATTTGTGAACGGGTTGAACTCGACTGGTTAAATGTTCTGTCGATGTTCAGATCCTAGTTACAAGCGTCCCTTTTGTGAAAGCGGCTGATCTCATTCGTGCCTACATTATAGCTTTACCTGATGTCACCCCCAGTTCTCGTTCCTTTCATTAATTTTTTTAAACTTACGTTATACCTAAAACGTCGGATTTCGTTTCCATGGCTCAAGGTGTTGGCTGACTTACAGTGTGGCAATGGGAAGTTCATTGGGTTCAACTCTGGCTGACCTATTCCTGGCGAAGATGGTGATCATAAACGATGCATTAACAGACCACTGAGGAACATAGATGAATATCGGGCGATAGTCAAAGATTAGGCAGGGCATGCACTAAGCGCAGGATAGATTTGAAAAATGTGGGCATTTTGAGACGGGCCACTACAGCGACTGGTGTGCAAGGTGGTGAAAATCGCCAAGCATCCCAGCATGAATCGAACAGAGGGTTTGGGGCTGGTAAGCATGTGGATAAGGGTTTTAGATCAGCCGGGATGACACGAGACGATGTATAGTTATCGGAAAAATGGTCTAGGTTTAAAGTTACAAATTTCAAGCAGAGTAAGATCTATCCATCCACACCCAACCCCAATCCAATTATCCTGGCACCCCTCGACACAGACGGACAATATCTGTGAATGACCCATAAGAAGAATAGTTCAACAAGGTGACCCAGACAGGAAAAGCAAGGCGGTAAAATCCGGATTCAACATGAAGACAAACTTCTCTAACCATCTATCGTGTTACGTTATACCTAAAACGTCGGATTTCGTTTCCATGGCTCAAGGTGTTGGCTGACTTACAGTGTGGCAATGGGAAGTTCATTGGGTTCAACTCTGGCTGACCTATTCCTGGCGAAGATGGTGATCATAAACGATGCATTAACAGACCACTGAGGAACATAGATGAATATCGGGCGATAGTCAAAGATTAGGCAGGGCATGCACTAAGCGCAGGATAGATTTGAAAAATGTGGGCATTTTGAGACGGGCCACTACAGCGACTGGTGTGCAAGGTGGTGAAAATCGCCAAGCATCCCAGCATGAATCGAACAGAGGGTTTGGGGCTGGTAAGCATGTGGATAAGGGTTTTAGATCAGCCGGGATGACACGAGACGATGTATAGTTATCGGAAAAATGGTCTAGGTTTAAAGTTACAAATTTCAAGCAGAGTAAGATCTATCCATCCACACCCAACCCCAATCCAATTATCCTGGCACCCCTCGACACAGACGGACAATATCTGTGAATGACCCATAAGAAGAATAGTTCAACAAGGTGACCCAGACAGGAAAAGCAAGGCGGCAAAATCCGGATTCAACATGAAGACAACCTTCTCTAACCAATCTATCGTGTTATTCGTCCCCACCAACCAACAAAAAGGAACTTCAGACGGGTACCCAGCAATGATCAAATCGGCTACTCATTAGAAATCTCGCGGATTGGATCTGTGACTGCCTTAAAAGCCGATCAACCTGGTAACTTACTCACTTGGCCTGACGAAGCTTGTGTGTCAAAAGCGAAACGCTGTTCAGCAATAAATCCACCCATTGTTTACCAAACCTCTCTGGAGCGATGATTACCCAAACGGTGGCAAGCATTTTCCAAGCAACTTAGAGTCAGTTCAAATCAGCAGATGTTGCCACGGGACTATCACGGCTCCCGTAGCATGGATGTGAAACTACTCAGTGGATTATTAAATTGCGGTAATAACTATAGCCGACAATTTTCACTCTGTGGAGGAGAGGAGTGCTAATGATACGTAAAGTAGCGTCAAATATAAGGCGGTTTTCACTAGAATTCCTTAAAGATCATTATCATCGACAGCATGACATCATTGTTCAACCCCGATGCTTCACTGCCGTACTTGTACGAGGGCTGGGATACTACTGTGGCGCCCACACATAGACAGGAGGACGATTAGGGTCCTCAACCAAAGCCTTTGGCTCAAAAGCCCAACCGCAAGGCAGCGGTGTTTGGCGGGAAATGCAAATGCATTACCATTTCTACGGAACAAGTCGCCACATGTTCCAACCCCCAACCTGGAGGGCCAGGAGACTGTGTTCGTCAGACCTCTAACTACTGACCATTGAGAGACTGTGAGTGTCATCGGGACACTCCCCATTACAGCTCAAAGAATCGCTGAGGTGCGCAGACCGTCACACCACGGTAAGGTCCGGTCTCTTCGTGGCAGCATAATCACAGCACAGCGTAAGCATATTATTTTCTGCTTGATATTCCATTGCATCTGGGGATGCGAACAAAGTGCATATGGCTGGTGGAACCTTAGGAACGACGCCTGTTCGATGAAACACATGAACGGCAGAAACCGGTAGCGGGCTGTCGATGAGTTTCCAACGGCCTTATAAGTTTTATATGATGTCAAAGAAATGTGGTGTGCTTTTTCACAACCCAAGGTACAGGAGCTTCGGTGTTAACGAATTGACAGAGGTTTGAAAGGGGCAGGGTCTGCAATACAACGAGATGGATGCCGAACTTCAGTGAAAACAGACTCATCATCATCATCGTCATCATCGACAGCATGACATCAGTGTTCAACACCGATGCTTCACTTCCGTACAACCATAACTTACTTAAAAGCCTTATTGTAAAGAAAAGAATAAAGGTGAACGGGGGAGAGACTTCGTGCTAGAGTACCACAATCATTCCAAGGTGCATATACCTCCAGACATGCAGCCAGGCGATCTGGATAGAAACCGATAACAAGAACGCCACTGACATCGGTTGGCAGTCATATCTTGTAGTGTCTCCAACCAGGTACAGTGAGGATCACACGGTCCCCGTCCAGGAAGGTGAGTAGAACCGACAACGCCCAAGTGTTTCGTGATCTCCTTCATAGACTGGAAGTAGAGAGATCAGGTGAAGTTAATGAGGAAATCTGTGCATCAGTACTTGACCATAAGGGTTCTGGGGAGTGGAACATTCCCAACTCTAATGTGTAGGATTCTTTCCAAAAGGTATTATACTACCTACCAGCTAGTCCTTAAAATCCTTTATGGCGCCTATTGACGAAACCTGTTCAAAACAGTTTTTCCGGAGGATGACGCGTGTGTAGCTCTGAGATTTTGTAAGAATGGGAGTATATCATAATCAACTCAGTACATTGTTTTTTTTACTCTTATTGAGGAGCAGTGTATTTCTTGAATTTTTTCGGCCAAACGGGTGAATTTTGACTGGACCCACTGATTATGGATTCTGTGAAGGACTCAGTGCACGCCAGCTAAAATTGCATGTCAACGTTGCTGTTTACAAAATGCGTTTGTAAGTTTAGAGCTAGTTAGTTTGCATTCACGTCAAAACAAAAACCGACACTCGTTATATATCGGTGGTCGGTTATTGACTCTAGTGTCATACCAGCAATTTGTCCACTGGGGTGTTATTTTCATTACAGACGATCGATTAGGACGTTATGGCATGTTTGCGGTCATTAATGCGATTGATCTACACGGATGGAACGGAACAGTTAGTCAAGCAGCTGCCAAGACAGAATATGCTTTGGATTTTGACGCGGCAATGGTGTTTAACAGGAGTTTGAGTAACCGAGACTTATGGGCTGCTAATCAGGTCTGATCGTGATTTACCTCTGCTCAATCCATCCAAACTAGTAGTTGTACTTGTTGGCTCAAATGTTTTCTTTTACGGTTTTACACTTGTGTCTTGAGGTAACACTAATTACCAAGTGTCCGCAAAAGACATAACGTTCTCATTAAGTAGTTATTATCGATGGAAGCACTCTTGTGTTAAAACTTCAGTTCCCCTACTTGCTGTTTTTACGGAAACACAAATAGGTTCGAGTTAGGTTTCTGGATGCACTAATAGAACCTGATTTCGCCTTTTAAGTCGGCCATTTGACGTCTGTCTACCGCGAAAATAGAATCCCAATTCATGAAACGGCCCCCACTATAATTTTAGTCATTGTGAAGTCCGTCCTTTTTCCCATATAACAGCAGTATAAAACAGAGCCATTTGGACTGTCTCATTGCTGATTGTTTAGGTGCCAGCGTACCGACCGGAAGGTCCGTGGTTCGAACCAAACCTCAGCATCTAGACTGCTCCTGTCTAGGCTTGGGCAACCTGGCAGTATCCAAGCCCTCGTGGCTCCTTCCGTTTGCAGGGCAGATAGGCACCGAAAGTGTGCTATACGAGGAGCGATTAATTTACTTTTTACTGGTGGCTTCCTCAGACTTGACCTGACTCTGTGTTTCGCGTGTATTCAGTTATCCAGAAGTAAAACACCCCAGAGCACTTGCCTCGTACGCCTGATATTTAAACGCAGACAAACTGAAGAGCCCCGTCTTTATATGTGGTACTTGTTGCTCCTTGATAGCCTCTATACCGTAGCAGTAGTATAGTTAATCACGTTTCTCGATTGCTCTTGTAGTTTACTAGTTCTTTTAAAGTCGCAAGGACGCCCGAATCGGAAAGCATGGTGCATCCTTGAACCGGTAGCATAGATGACCTCAAAAAGTTGGTTCCCAGTATCCACCACTGCCAAGATCCTACTGCAAACTATTCACCAAGTAGATTGGGAAAGCGCCCTTTGGTATGTTGTTATATGACCGGAGCTCTGCATCTCTGTCAGTATGTGAGGTCCTACTCACCGGAATTCAGTAGCCAGCACTGTGTAAACCAAGTTTCGGGACAGCGTATATAAATTCGCTTGTAAAGCCTCCCTGTATACAACTAGTATGTTTTAAGTCTCGCAACCAAGGAGGGCCAAAGAGACAGTTACATCTCATGGTATATCGTCTACCTGTGGTGCGACTAACAGGAAGTAAGTGCATTCTGTCTGCCGATAGTGCAACAACAAACCGTCTCACAGATGTGCCATAAGGGATGTAAGGACACTCTGTTTAAGTGAAGGACAAGCATTTTGGACCTTTGTAACTTTAGCAACAATGTGTGCTACATCACTTTGTGTGCTTATGCTCACTGACCAGTTGATCGATCTTAGTAGACGAGAAGTGAGGCATATTGATTGATCCGATAAAGCAACTGATAGCATAAGTTACTAGAAGCTTTGACAGTGTGTGAAGAGATTAAGTCGGTTACATAACAGGAAGATGTACGTGTTTGAAAACGAGATAACTGAAATCGTGGAAAAATTACTGAACGTATTAGAGGCTCTAAAGCTTTGAATTTGGCTCCCAAAATAATCGCTTGAAGACAAGGTACGGAGTGGACAAACTACAGCCGATTGTGTCGGCACTATCTAAAACATCGAAAGTGAATGTGAAATACGACACAACCTTTATAAGGAGGGCTGCAACAGAGAGCCAGATAGGCGTATCTAAGGGATATCGGTGTCAGCGTTGAGTCCATTGTGAACCGGTTTGTCTTTGGTAAAAAAAACAGCGACCTATCCACCGTTTCTTTTCCTTGGTGATCAGTACCTAAGTCATCACTCTCAAATCTCCGCTCCCAGTGTGTGCCACCTTCATAGCCTTTGCGGTACAGTTGTATGACCAGGCAGTTCCCTGTATTTCCATTCACCACCAGAGCCGATCAATCTCCTCTGTGACTTGGCCATCTTCATTCACCAGCATGGATACTGGTCATCTGAACCAGGACATGACTGAACACTTAGTGAGCAGTGTCAACCGCCGGGGGGAGTGAATTTCCCTCTTCCAGGATAGATTGGTTTTGGGGTAATAGAGGCCTCATTCACTGAGGACCGCGCCAATCTGTTGAACCAAAAGCAGAGCGAAACCGATTGTGGGTTGTCGAATAGTTTTCAGAAGCTTTATGTCGGTCAAGAAAATATTCCACGATATCCCGCATGTCAGACCAATTGAAGCATAAGGAGGATTTTGCGCATCACTTGCAGTTAGGGGAAATCATACACCAGAAATTCTGTCAAGTCTCTCGTTAGCACCAGTGAGTACGTTTCGTCACCTCTCTTCGGTCCTATCAATTAAATGTTACAGAAGCAAACATTCTATGTTTCAAAAATAACCAGTTGCGCTGTACGCGTCTGTAACAGTGGTCTTACTGTCGACCGCCTCATCCATCTAAATTCAGTCTACTTAGCTTTCAAGCGATAAGATTTTCGTTCATCTACCATCCAGTCATTGAACCTAAAATAAAAAAACCTCTTAAAGGAAGCTACCCAGAAGGTTTTGGAAAACTCTGCGACAGCCCACGACCGCTTTCGCACTTCTTGGGGCTCATCAGCTAGGCACAGTCTCCGAGTCTCCGTTAACCTTATGTTCCGTTTGAACTCAAATTGGACCGATTGCGACAAATCCACTCATTTGCAAATCGATTTGGTTTTCACGGGAGACTCAAATGAATCTCCGTTTACGATGTTCTGTCTGTGGAAGAGTTTTCAGCAACATTGTGAGTAGCTTCCTCTATGAAAATATGCTGCAATATCTCGAATATCCTACCAACTGAACCATGAGGCGGCCTGTGTGCAGCACATTCAGTTGAAGAACATCATAAACGAGAGATTCACTTGAGTCTCCCGTGAAAACCATAGTGATTTGCAAGTGAGTGTATTTGTCGCATAAAACCTCCTGTTTTCCAGTTGTAAAAACGAGGTTTTTCATGGCTATCGTGGGCACAGATTGAGGTGGGCGAATAACTTTAATTTTCCACTCAATTCTACAATAACTGTTCGGGGTATCCTGAAAAAAAACACTGAATGTTTCTTAGAACTACCGGGGAGGAACGGTAGGTTAATTCATTGTGTTGACTGGTGGGGATATGAAATTCACTTATACTGGAGTTGCCACCCACGAGATGAACACCAGGTTTGGGACGTACTGAACGCAACGGCAAGCTGGTAGCTTAGACAAAGTATTTCTACGAATACAGGTAAGAATATGTGAGTTTAATAAAGATGATGTCGGCAATCGCTAATCTGCTTTAGCGTTTGCATCTGACCGTTTGCCTAGGATGTGGAAGGCCATCTGAAACGTGTTCTTCCGCAATTCATCGACCGTCGAATTAGCAACGAACTTAGTTAACAGCCGCACTCAGCTTTGGCAAAAATGCCAGTTGTAAATTCAACTAGCGGACTTTCCTCAACTTGTCATGGTGAAACTGTGAAATGTAGCAAACTTCCAATGAGTGACATCAACAACTTGCCTGGAACTCTGTCAATATTGGTGTGAACACTTATATTGTTTCTGAATACAAACAGATTCATCAGTCAGTGCGGCTACCAGGATACTGAAACATGGTTTTAAGCCCCCGTCCTTTTTTACATGGTTGCTATTCAGTGCTACTTTACTGTCAATAGTGTCTGTTCCGGTTCATTATCGGGTGTTCATGGCAGATACCTGACAGCGCGCATTTGACTTTCGGCACCGATATCATAGCCGCACCCATCCAGGTATACCATTGTTTAACATCGTGAACACCAGCCAACGCATCTGTCTACCTTGTCAATTCCTGACCTGTTTTACCATGGGGACAGTCTCTTTGTCGTTCACCACCCAAAGCGAGACCGTCGGGAGGGAGACAATTCCACAAGACACTTCATAGCAAACCTGTCCGTCGGCCTTCGGTTGGATCACGCATCTCTTCGTCTACTGCACTGAAGCTCCATGAACGGTCTTGCTTCACAGCTTGGTAATTTATTAGAGACGGCTAACACAGTAGGTGAAATTTAGGTCCCATGAACGCAGTGTCAGCAATATTTGGTTGACTAGAAATCGATAAGTTGAGTACGAGCCGTTCTCTCTTCAGTCGTTCAAATAGAACATAAGGTTGACTGAAACCCGGGGACTGCGCCTACCTGATGAGTCCCAAAAAGGGTGAAGCCGGTCGTGGGCTGTCGATAGATTTTCAGCAACCTTATGAGTAGTACATTACAAAAAGATTTAAACTCTTTTACAGATTCAAGATACGCAGCTATCGGGCAGCCTAAAAAGTTGTAGCATCTCTCCGCCCATCGTCGTCTCTTCCCCATACGGAGTATGCGGGTCAACATAATCACAAACAACGGAGGCTTAATCGCTCAGTTGATAAAACTCTCACAATTTGATGTTCGTTGACCTTGGATGTTTATCACATGGCTGTTGATCCATTCGCCGAGCTTGCAAATCATTCCAGGAGTTTGTGTCAGTGCGCTGTTGTTGTGGGGCGACCCGATCAACAACCATCGAACGCTAACAGTGTTTTGACACTGCCATAGTCAGACCTGGTCTCAATAGTTTCCATAAATCAACAGGTTACCCATTCAGCTTGCTGTGTAGCGGCCTCTGACTTGTGGGATTGCCGCTATTCACGCGACGGACTATTTGCCCATCAGGTTTTCGTCCTACGTTGCTTCATCGTTTGCTGCGCTATCCAGCGGGTCTTCGACATTTTGTGAAGGCCGTTCTGTTTGACCTTGGAATGGCCAGACTCGCACAGCTTACTCTATCAGCGGTTTATCCTGCTTGACATTTCTATGCTAACTGTTCTGTTTTTTTAAGGATCGGCCCGGGACAAAGTGTGCTATAATGAGTCCTCGTTCAGAAGTGTA